TTCTGCAGGAATGTGTGAAGGGCATTCTAAGAAATAAAACAATTTTACTCGTAACTCACCAAGTTGATTTCCTGCACAATGCTGATCTTATACTGGTAAGCAATGATAAATATGTCCACAGGCACTGATATTTATTTATTAATAGATATCCTGCACAAAGGAATCCTATACTTGGAAGAAACAATAAGTTAAATATGCTTGTACTTTTTTGTACTAAATCAGTTGATGCGAGATGGGAAGATCGTTCAATCTGGAAAATACGGGGAGCTTCTTGAATCTGGTTTGGATTTCGGAGCTCTTGTTGCTGCACATGAGAACTCCATGGGGCTCGTGGAAATGAGCATGAATGTTTCTCACAACTCCCCACAAACTCCTCAAAATTATGAAGACCAAATGGAGACCAAAGGTTCTTTCCACGCATCTGAGTCTAAAGGTAACATCAAGCTCATTGAAGATGAGCAGAGAGAAACTGGCCATGTCAGCTTTGATGTCTACCGGCAGTACTGCACGGAGGCATATGGATGGTGGGGAGCAGGAGGAGTAGTAATAGCCTCATTTCTGTGGCAATTATCCCTCAGTTCAAGTGATTATTGGCTTGCATATGAGACCTCTTCTAGTCATGCTTTTACACCATCTCTTTTCATTAATGTTTACGCAATCATAGCAGCAATTTCTTTTGCGCTTGTGGCGGTCCGATCATTTGCAACCGCAATTTTGGGTTTGAATACAGCTCAAAGATTTTTCACTCAGATTGTTAACAGCATATCCCATGCTCCAATGTCCTTCTTTGACACAACTCCTTCTGGAAGAATATTAAGTCGTGTGAGTTATATTCTTCCTCAGCTCACTTTCGTGCTCCACATGATATTTGGATAACTAATGAACAAATGCTTTATTTCAGATGTCAACTGATCAAGCCAATGTCGATTTCCTAATACCATTGTTTATGAGTATTGCACTGGCAATGTATTTCACTATATTTAGCATATTGGTTATTATGTGCCAGAATGCTTGGCCTACAATATTCCTCCTGGTCCCTCTCATCTGGCTCAATATCTGGTACCGGGTAATGCAAATGCTCATCACTCCTTCCATTTCTTAAATCCCTATTTCAAGAAATGACATTTTTATATTCTGTTAAGTAATTAACTATTACTCCCTTAGTCCCTTCTTCCCGAAATATAGTTCTTGTTAAGGTTTGGCACATATTAAAAAAACATCTGAAAAAGATATGTCCTGATTGAGATTTGCATGGAAATGAGTGAAATGATAAGAATCATGTGTTTCTTTCCTTGAAGGAAACATAAAAAAATCAGATGGACCGGAAAAGGAAAACATAAACTTTATCTCGGGACAAGAGTACTTTTATTGATATGACATTGAACTTACAATTTGATCATTTCTTGAGGCTATTACACTGTTTATATAGAGAAATGGTGGAACTAAGTCTGGCAGGAATAGGAAACTAAAGTACTACTAAAATTATGATAGCTACTCCCTACATATTATTACTAAAACTATAGCTCTACTAAAACTGTGATAACCGTATTACTAATTTAATTTATCAAACTGACTCTGCATTCTTGTGTTTATCCTAATGTAGAATTACTACATTGCATCATCACGTGAATTAACCCGACTTGATTCAATCACTAAAGCGCCTATTCTCCATTTCTTTTCGGAGACTGTTTCTGGGGTTATGACCATACGTTGTTTGGGGAAAGAAGATGAATTCTTCCAGAAAAATGTTGACAGGGTGAATGCAAATTTGCGGATGGATTTCCATAACAATGGATCAAATGAGTGGCTAGGTTTCCGTTTGGAGTTGATTGGAAGTGTCCTGCTCTGCATTTCTACCCTTTTCATGGTGATGCTGCCAAGCACTCTTATTGGATCAGGTGGCATTCTTAATTGTGTTAAACAGTAACTCAAGTTTGCACTAATTCTTTGTGTTATAATAAATTGACTTATGGGTTTGTTTGCCATCAGAATATGTGGGATTGGCTCTATCGTATGGTCTGTCTCTGAATGGTGTTCTCTTCTGGGGTGTCTATATGACCTGTTTCATGGAGAACAAAATGGTTTCAGTGGAAAGGATAAAGCAGTTCATAAAGATCCCATCAGAAGCTAAATGGAGGATTGCAGGTTGTCTTCCGTCCCCAGATTGGCCTACTCATGGGGAAATAGAGATAAAGGACTTGAAAGTAATACACTGAAATCCACAATCATAAGTCTTGTTTTTTTTTCTCTACAGCAAAATAAGTATCTTACATATTTTCTTCAACGGAAGTTCTCAAGTCTGTGTAAAATCTTGAGCAGGTCAGGTATCGGGATAACACACCTCTAGTTCTCAAGGGAATATCCTTCAGCGTCCACCGAGGAGAAAAGATTGGTATAGTTGGAAGAACTGGAAGTGGGAAGTCAACATTGATTCAAGTTTTCTTTAGGCTGGTGGAACCTTCTGGAGGGAGAATAGTCATAGATGGAATTGATATATGCACACTTGGCCTTCATGATCTCAGGTCTCGCTTTGGAATCATCCCTCAGGAGCCTGTTCTCTTTGAAGGGACTGTCAGGAGCAACATTGATCCTCTCGGGTTATACTCTGATGATAAGATATGGAAGGTATAATACATTTCACCCTAAATGCATCTCACTCAAAACCTACTCTATGTTTTATTTAAGTTATTATGATTTTGGTGTGTGTAGTGTCTCGAGCGTTGCCAATTAAAGGATGTAGTGGCTGAAAAGCTTGGGCAACTAGATGCTGCAGGTACATCTTACCTCCCCCCCCCACTGTCATATTATTATCATTAGTGTTTTTCCTATATTACTACTAAACAGAACAATAGGACAATACTATGACTGCATGGTCCCAATAACCACTGTGAAATACATGATGATCAGGGCAGTGTAATTTGAACTACACCGTGGTTACTACCGTTATTGCAAAATATTAAAAGTCATCTCATATTTAGCCACATTTTTATCAATTTTCTGTCATATATTTGTCATAATCCATTACTCCGTGTTATTATTGATTTATTACTATCCCTTGTTATGAACCAATTGGCTTGATGGAATTTGGTTAGTGGCTGACTCGGGGGATAATTGGAGTGTGGGGCAAAGGCAGCTCCTATGCTTGGGGAGAGTGATGCTAAAGAACAGCAGAATTCTCTTCATGGATGAAGCAACAGCTTCAGTTGACTCACAAACCGACGCTGTCATCCAGAGAGTAATTCGAGAAGACTTCTTGGACTGTACCATTATCACCATTGCTCACAGAATTCCTACAGTTATAGACTGCGATAGGGTGTTAGTCATAGACGATGGTGAGTCTCTCAATCTTAAACTGTGCAAAAAGACTAAATGGTCTGCTTTAACGACCTCCCCCACTTATTTCCTCATTATTTAATTTATTTATCTGAGAACAACAGCAAATAAACCAACCTTGATTCTTCTTCCAGATATTTATTATTGTGTGTCCTATTACAGGGTGGGCAAAGGAGTATGATGCACCAACTAAGCTGATGGAGAGACCATCACTGTTTGGGGCTTTGGTTCAAGAGTACTCCCAGAGATCATCAGGGTTATAGGAACCTTTTATGCTGCTCTACGCATACATGTGCAATTGGCCTTTCTGCAAGATCATTCATGAACCATTTTGAGATTAAATTTGAGATTATTACTATTGCTTCTATAATGTACATAGAGAAAATGTATCGGAAACTATTTACAGACAATAAGAAGGTGATCAGATTCCACTATAAACTTTAATATCAAGATTTTATGCTTCAGTGTATGTGTATCAAACTATTAAGAGTTAGTCAAGATGAAACTTTTCTGGGTATAAATATCGTCATTACTTAAATCCCATCATATATTGTTAACCTGATACTCGGACAAAAGACGTAACCAGGGCCTTGGTTATGCAACCTTTTTTGCTCATAGAGGCGAACGCCGCTTATGGTCCAAACCTTGTTTGGACTCTGCAACTGTTTTCTACATCCCACTCATGGGTCAATATATTTAATGTTGTTTAGGCTGCAGTTTTTATGTTAACAAGGGCTCACATCATGCGTGTGGATAGCCATGGTTCTGAATTTTTGATACTTTATTAAGATTTTGATTTCATATTTAAAAGCTTGAGGATCAAGGCCATATATGTTGGTCGATTATTGTAAATTATGATCAAGAATAATGTGGGTTGATTGCTTTAGTTCTAATCAACCGACAACCAACATGAGACAGACACTTCAACCAGCAAAACTAGGTTGATAAATATTTTTCTATTTGCAATAGTTTTTAATCACGTTAGGAAAGTAAAAGAATTACATTTCCGTGTTCATTCATAATATCTGCTGGACTTATCATATGCCAGTTACCATTTTGCATCTAGTATATGGTTTTTTATTGTGTTGTTGCACAAATAGAACACTTTTTTGGGTGTTAAAACTTATCTCAAAATTTTGAATAATTAGTTTACATTATTTTAACTCCCATATCAACAGTCAATGAAAGGGTAAATCTAAAAGTTTCTAATAAAATTATGTAATAAATCCCATATCAAAATTATGTAATGGGCATCACTTTTTTCCACCACTTGGCGATTAGGGCTATGTTTGGCGGGCATAAGTCCTTGACTTCTAGCTTTTGTATTGTTCAAAAAGTTCCTAAAAGTTTCTAGTTGTGTGTTTGGCATGACAATATTTAAGAGCTTTTCAAAAATTAAAAGATCTTTTTTGAGATGCTACCGGGAGTAGCATCTAAGAAAAGCTAGTGACTTTTAGTATTAATTAATCCTAACAGCTTGTATACCAAACCGAACTAAATCAAACAGTCAGCTTTTTATCAAACAGCTACCACCTTTTCTTTTTAAGATCTTTTCAGTTACTAAAAGCTAACAGTTATTAAAAAGCTCACAAAAGTATCTTTTCAGCTAGTTGTGCCAAGCATGCCCTAGATAGCGTAGCCATTCTTACAACGGGTAAAAATCTTCTAGTGGATTGTTTGGCTTTAGCATCATCTTGAATCATTTCAATTATGGTAAAAGAAATTATTATGAAAAGCCATAACTGAACAATATTACTTGTTACCGCATCCTTGGCGGCCTTGTGATGAACATTAACCACAAAAATCATATGGAGTAACATATTTCACTCCCAACTTACTTTAAAATCCCTCCAGTTTTTTTTTCATTACTTTATAATCCAAATATTAATTCTTGTCACCGAGATAGAGAATTAAATAGAAAAATATGGGTGACCAGAAACAATTGGTGGTGTTCGCCTTAGACGACAGTGATCATAGCTTCTACGCCCTGGAGTGGACCCTTGACCACCTGATCATTCCCACGGCTTCCGATTTTAAGCTGCTCATTATCCACGCAAGGACTAGTCCCACCGGCGTCATTGGACTCGCAGGTCCAGGTAATTAAAACTTCTCATATTGGTTATAAACATTAGACTGTTTTGTCCTCAAACCCAGATAATAAGAAATGAAAAACAGAATTATTGTTTGAATGTTGGAATAGTGTGCTGGAATGAAGCATAAGTCCAAAAAAGTATTGAGGGTATGATGAGAATTTCAAAACCAATTATTGCGGGTAAAATAAAAAAATGTGTATTTTCATTTTCATATTTACACATGAAAAGATTACTTAATTACGGTTGAAAAGGAGAGCCGGATTTTTTATTATAAGGAAGGAGTAATTGAGATCGGAACATTCATCTCGTACTTTTCTCATATTGCCCGTTTCATGATATTGATTGAACCCGACAATTGGTGATAGTTACAATTACTTAATCTATTGATTTATATATGAATAAATTATTTTTAAAAATTATAATATACTTTTTATTATAAAAGAAAGAAAAAATATACAATATATATATATGTATATAATAGTCTTCAACAAATTCATCAAAAAAGTAAATTGACTTTGCACCCCGTTTTTAAAAATCTTTGTTTTTGCATTCCAACCTCATATGAAAAGACAAACTGCCCTCAATCAGGAATATGTTGAAGGTCAACAAAGTTGTTAATGGAGGGGCATTTTTGTCTTTTCATATGGGGTTGGAGTGAAAAAATAAAGAGTTTTAAAAACGGGGTGCAAAATCCAATTTAGACAATAATTTGAGATGCAAACTCAAAATACCCCTTATTTATTTTAATTGATAAAAAGATAAAGTGTTTGGTAAAAAGAGTTGGTTGATAAAACAGATAAAACGGGATTCAAACAAATTACCTCATAGAGTAACCCCCTGGAAGGTTGAAATATTTACCATATTCGATACGATTGAGTAAATATTGTACGAAAAATCTGTTGGTACACGTAAATTGTACACATTTTGTGTACATCCCAAATTGCTTGTATACACGGACAACTCGTTCAGAAGCCGCTTGTGTACACAACCAACTAGAAGGCAGTGGCGGAGCCAGAGGTTTGTCCAAGGAGGGGCAAACTGAAGACTAAAAATTTTAAAGTGCGTGTCCAAAATATAATAAGAACAACAATAGCGTACTAAATTAGCAAAAAAATTATAGTTCATTACATACTACTTGATTTACTTTTGCAACGTAGGCAAATCAATCCTACGAGTTTCATATTTTGAAAATGTTGCATAATAGCTTCATTATCAATTGCTTGAAAAATGTCTCTTTCGATGTAGCATACTAAACAATCCGTAAGATAGTCATCTCCCATCTTATTGCGAAGATCTATCTTGATAATATTCATCACTGAGAAAGCTCTCTCAACTGTGGTTGTTGCAACTGGTAACACTAGAGCCAACTCAATAAGACGATTGACCAAGTGAAAAGATTTGTGAATTGTAAGCTCAACCATCTTCTTAGACACTTCACCAATACTTTGTAAAGTGGAAAATGCTTCATTCCCTCTCATCTCATATATCCAAACTTGGAGTTGTTGTTTAAGCTCCATTTGCTCAACAGCTGAAAAATCAGATGAATACAACTCCGCAAGGCTGAAGAGCCTTCTTCCAGTTACGGAATCCGGTCCTCACAAACACATCATCACCAAATCTCTTTCCTTCTTGCCCATGAAAAAGGTAACACCAAAAACAGAAAACAGCATCTTCAGAAATACTATATTCCAACCATTCCCAAGTTTTAAACCACTCTCCTCGAAAGCTCCTTAATGACTTTCCAAATTCAGTTCGTGGAAACTTATGAGATGCTGGTTGACAAGCACCTTTAACAACATATGCTCTCATCACATCATCCCTAACCCCCGGCGCATATTCATTAATTGGTTTTCATAAAAATGGATCACTAATAATATCCCATTCATGTGTACTTTCTATTCGGGCTCTCTTGTCCCTCTCATTCCTCTCATCTCTAGCAATATTTTCATTTGACGCAGTGGCATTTCCAACACCGGAGATAGACTGATTAGGAACAATTGAAGAATTAACACTTAATCTTAAAATAACCTTAAGTTGTACTTATTATTTTTTAAGAAAGAAGCCGGGGCAAGAAACATATTATAAGTAATACTAGTAAAAAAAATGGTCGGAGCGGGGCGCTTGCCCCCCTTGCCCCCCAGCTCCTCCACTGCTAGAAGGGTTTACACAAAGAATGATCCAATATTGTATACTTTGTATTACGGTTAGCTATATATGGTAAGTTGTCTAACATTGTTTAAAAAGAAAAGTATGAACTCACTCACATATAGGGTGTGATGGGGTCGGTTGTGAATTGAAGGAGCAAGTGATGTGGTAGAAGCGGTGGAGAGTGATGTGAAGAGGACAGCCACAAAAGTAATGGAGAAAGCCAAAGAAGTATGCAGCAATAAAGGAGTGAAGGAGGTGGAATTCCAAGTTCAAGATGGTGATGCCAGGAATGTCGCATGTGATGTTGTTGACAAGCACCATGCAACTCTCTTGGTCTTGGGTAGCCATGGCTATGGAACTTTCAAAAGGTGCCTCGTTTCTTTCTTTTACATCAAATTCAAGAACCCGTTTAGTAGGCACTGAAATTGATGGAATCGGTTGAAAATGAATTAGATTAAGTTAAAAAATGATTTCAAAAATGGAGTGCAAAATCAAATATTAATCATAACATGAGATAACATGGGATCGAAACTTCCTCATGTCTTTCTTCTTTCGTCGGGTAGTCCAAAAGTATGGTGTGAAAGATAATACGTGAAACGTATAAATTGTACCTTAACTATTGGTATTGTTGTGTTTTGGTACTTGGACTCTTTAATGAATTAAATCAGTACCATAATTATACATGAATGTTTCAACTTGCAATTTCATTTAAATATTCGACCAAAAAATCATATGCGGCGGCCGAAATTTTATGCATAAAGTCTACTTCCCATTCCTTTTGTTCATGTCATCGTTGTAGGTTGACTCTACACATTGATTTTTGATCATCATGTAGGATTTTTTGCCCCAAGTTGGAACAAAATTGCAAGTTGAAACATTTATGTATGGTTATGGTGCTATTTTGATTCATTTAATAGTTGCAGAAACCAATCAAGCCATTAGAATGTTATTTTATATACGTTTCAGACTTTCAGAAATGTCCATTCTAGTAGCACACCCGCACAAAATCTGATTTCGGTTTTATTTATTGTATAGATTAGACGAACAGGTAATTGATGTGATAAAGTAGTTATTTGCATAGATTAATTAATAATGATATGATTTGTCATTTAATTTGCAGGGCGGTTCTTGGGAGTGTGAGTGACTACTGCTCTCACCATGCCAACTGTTCTGTAATGATCGTGAAGAAACCAAAATGCTCAAAGCTCCACGCCGTTAATTAGACTTTTCTAGTAAATAATTAGGCAAATTGCACATGTCACTACTTAATTAGCTACTAGGGACGCACTGGGGGAGGGGGCAAATTCAGCTCTTCCGTTTCTAGGTGTGTCAATTTAAAGTAAGAAGATTATTATTGGACGAATGCAGTTCTCTATAATTATTAAACTTTTGATGTAGTAATGCTCATGCACCCATGCCTAATATTTTAAAAACATGAGTTAGTAACCGCGGTCGTAGCTCACCTGATAGAAAGAGAGTGTCACAAGGGGGAAATCTCGAGTTCAATTCCAAATAAAGACTTGGTATGGAGTCTCACTCTCTTTCCATTAGTGTGAAATTAAAGCTCAATTTACATCCTCCCAGATAACTGTCTGGTCAGTTCTGGTGGGTCTCCGGGATGAGGTATCATCCTTAAAAAACATAAGTTTGAATACAAGATATGAAACACTTCAAAAGCAAAACAACACAGAAGTATATGGGCAAGTCGTCGTCAACGCGACAACTATTTTAAATTTCTGAGTAGTACGTAATTATCCCCTAATGTTTTGTAAACAAGTTTGAATAATAGTCTTAGAACTTGATAAGAACTTTCCAACGGGCTATAAAATGCTTGGAACGGATCACAATACAACAAGATATTATAAAATCATATACTTCGTATTACATAAGTTAATCTATATCTACTCTTTAATACATTACAAATGAAGTCTAAACATGGGAAATGTAACTCAAAATGTTCTTTCCAACGAGGTATAAAACGCTTGAAATGGAAGAACATACACAAGATATGATCAAATCAAATATTTTGTGTTTTTTTGAATGTAGCATTTTTGAGTAAATAGAACATACTACGTATTTGGTGTAACCGCCTAAACTTTTAATAGGGATTGTAAGTCTGTAAGACTTACTCACTTAAGTAATAAGTATAAGTTATTTATTGATTTTGTGCACTAGTAGTTATACATGTGTCGTTTGAGTATTGTAATATCACTGATATCATGTAATGTAACTAATAATTTTGATCACTAAGTAATCTGCCCTAACTCGCCGCAAAAAGCACTGTTGACATCGCATGTCACCATTCAGAATGGTTGGGGTATTGTTTATGGAAGTCTAGAGCACAAGCAAGCGCATCTGTAACAAAAATCATTTGTAAATGGCTAAAGATATGAGATCAGTAACAAACACACGCATAAATTATGAGACTAAATCGTCATTAATTTTAAAGTCTATCAAGAAGTTAATATCCTCCGTAAATTGTGGCACATTGTGTCACAAAACCCTGAATTAAGCATTTCTTTATACCATAATTTACAAACATTTCCATTATTAACTCTAATATCATCCCTAAAGATGTTTGTCATGTGAGGGCGCACTTTAGAATTTAATGCTTTCTTTAAAGTTGTCAAGATCTTCAATGTAATGTTAGTCTACTTTACTTGAACACATATCTAGAAGAACCAAACAAATCACTACTATACAAAGAGTTTTAGATTAAAGCATAAATTTTATGTGTGTAGTAGATCATGTTGTAACTCAAAAACAAACTGTAATGAACGAGAGCAATAATGATCTATAATAATGCAAGAGTGCACAACAATGATGTACAAATTAAACACTTAATATCATATCGGTCAAATTTATCAATGTCAGTGCGCAATTTGATAGCAGATTAGAAGATGGATTTCAAGTTTTCAACTATTTGGAAAAATAGAAGAATCAAAGTATTCTTTCATAATAAAAGTTATTCCATGGAAGTTTTAAAATTATATTTTAAATCGGAATTACTAATCATTATTGTACCAGATAATTGCAAATTTTAAAAAGTTCCACGAATTAACAGATAAATTAAAATAGTTGAAAAAAAAATTACTAACCTCAAATATAATAATGCCTAAATCAAGACTTCTAGATAAACAAAAGTAACACAATAATAAATCAAGATATAACTGATTATGCACAAATTCAATCATTCACCAACTAAAGTATTGTTAGGATCCTGAATAGTAAAGACTAAAGATTGTCCACAAGAGATATTTAGATACCAACTTAGAGGAATAACAAATTCAACATAAGCAGATACCAACTTGAATGAATCATGAAGAAGTAAATCTTAAGATATCTTTTTTGAAAGCACAGATGGGTAATTACCGTCTTTGTAACTTTTGTTTTATGTGCCCGATTTCGGCTTTGCTATTCGGTGCCGCCACTTTCAACCAGCAAGAGCCCACTTTAATTCTGCACTACTTCCCGCTTGCATTTCAACCCAAAACTTCCTCCACTCTCTTTTATTTATGTGGAGATTTGTACTCCCTTCGTCCCATTTTAGTTAGCAAAACTTGATTTCTTAAGTCAATAGTATCTAACTTTGACTGATTATATATTTATATACAGAAGTATTGATAATATAAAAATGATACGAAAATTTTCTTTGTTAAAAATACTATCATAAAAGTTTAAAATTATTAAATTTTGTATAAACATACTCCGTATTAGTTAAAATAATTGGTCAACGCCTATCAACTTTGACTGGAAAAGTCAAAGATAGCTGACTAAAATGGGACAGATGTAGTACTAAAATACTCGCCCCTCAATCATTAATTTAGCCTATTACTACCTCCGTCCCCCTAATATTGGGACAGAAGAGAGTGATGTGGTTTTTTAGAAAAGTAGAGTTTTGTGGTTGATAATGAGTTGATAAAGTGGGAATAAAGTAAGAATGAATTAGAACCACACAAATGTTACCAAATATGGTATGAGAAAATAATAGGGGGACATCCAAAAATAGGAAAATGGGACAATTATATGGGGACGAAGGGAGTATATTATATACCCAACAAAACTATTTCTCAAAATACATACAAATTCTCTTCTTTAATTATTTGGAAAAAGTGTAAATATATCTATGAGGTATATGTGGAGGTGCAGATATACCCCTGAACTTCTAAAAAGTGCAAAAATACCCTTAATGTTCCTATGAAGGAGCAAATTTACCTTTATTGACTTTAAATAAATAATATAAAATAAAATAAAATAAAATAGAAAATAAACTATAAATTTAAATTTCAAAATTGAAACATAATAAAATTTTAAATCTTTAATTTTAAATTGTAAGATTTTTTTTTTTGCCTTGTATATGAAGCACTTCAAATTCATAAACATTAATTTTAGTCCTACTGCAAAATTTCAAACACATGGTTACATTTTTTAAATAGCATCTTTGATTTTTTTAAACTTAATAAAAGTAAATTTGGTATTTTGCAAGCTTGGACTAGTCATCAACATACAAAATATGTAATTTTATAGTGCAAAGAATACAAATAAATAATGATTTTTTTTCATTGCAACGCATATGTTAACACTTTTCAAAAGAATCATAAATATATAGTTACTAATTTTGAAACAATTTTTTATACTAATAATATGAAATTCTAATATAAAAATTATAATAGAAGGAATTGGACACAAGTACGTTTTTATTTTTTTTTCAATTTTGAATTTTAAAATTTTAATATATTTTTGTTTATTTATAAAATTTATCTTATTTATTTAAATTCAATAAGGGTAAATTTGATCCTTTATAGGAATATAAGGAATATTTCTGCACCTATTAGAAGTTCAAGATATATGTGCACCTCCGCATATATTTGAGGGATATGCTCGCTCATTTCTTCATTAATAATTATTTAAAATAACTGTGTCATTTTACAATATGATCCTTTAACCAAGCATAGATTATAATTATTAGCATCTTCAATATTGAAACCATGAATTAAAGATGTGTTTAATTATACATTGATTTTCAAACTGGATTTAATTTATTTAGATTGGATTAAATATGGTTTCAAACTAAACCAAGAAAAAATGAATACTTCCTTCGTGTCAGGTAAAGATTCATGTTTCGATTTATGATGTTTGACAGAACATAAAATTATCTGATCCATGTTAATAATTAAATTATTTTTAATAAATAAAATTTACATGTTTAGAAATTAAATTAATTTTTTTTATATAAAATCCCCAAATAAAACTCAAATTTAATAAATGTTAGATGCATGATGTAAAAAATTGAAAAGAATTTAAAGAGACAAATGATGGGAAACGAGTGTTGGGCCGAGGTAATACTCTATGGATGTTTTTACTTGGATTGAATTTGTTGGTCTGATCTGTTGAAGTTTTATCTGACTTGAATTGATTTGTTTAATTTAATAAATATTTGGTCTCTATGTATTTTATAATTATAGAAATATGGTCTGGTCTATAAACTAACCTGATTTGGTCTGTTTAAATCTCGTTTTGCGTGGAACTCAAAACGGTTCAAATAAACACATTCATCCGGACATTCTTGGCCCAAAAAAAGAATCTAAGACCTAAATTCGTAATTCGGAACTTTATTCGTAATCAACCTCTTCCACAAACCCTCACCCTATATATCCTCGCTCTGATAGCACAATCCAATCCCTCTCGGCGCGTCTCTCTGCTTCAACATCCGTTTACACCATCCCAGAGAGCCCTTGCAAGGAGCGCCATGTTGATCTATCAGGATATTTTGACTAGTAATCTTAATCTATCCTTTCTAGCACGTTTTGTTTTATTTTACTGGTAAACATGTCGATATGTGTTTTGTCTGATTTGTTTAATCGAAACTCTGTTTTTGTGAATTGTTAGGTAATGTAGTTTTTAGATCTATCAACTCCATTCATGGTGGTATTCGATAAATCCTTTAGATCTGATTTGTTTATGGGTGAATTTCATTAAAGCGGGGCCTTCTCTTTTCATGTCTGCATTCTCCTCTGCTTTATTTGTTCACGAATGTGGAAAATGTGTAAAACCCACTTGAAATAAGCTCCCAGAAATTTCCCTAAATAGTCGAATTGTGAAGACAATTTGAAATCCCAAACTAAGGGTATTATATATTTTTTAGAAAATAATGCTAAATATATCATTAGTGCCATATTAGTGCCAAAAATGATTATACCAGAAAACACCTTGTTTTGGGATTTCAAGTTGTTACCATGCTTGTGAAATTTCACAATAAAATTCATGTTTATTTAAGAAATCAATTTATTTTTCTGAGAATATCTTTTAGTTCAACCGGTTTTATAAGAATAATTATTGCCCTCTTGAATGTCACAAGGCGCTTGTCCTTTTGCTCCTTCCTTTTCAAGAACAATAATCATTAAACTATGC